GTTTGAACTACTTTGAAATCAAAAAAGCGCTGAATTAAGATGTTATATTTACATGAATCTGCAGCTATTTGATATTTAGTCTAAGAGAGGATGCTCTATGATGCGATTTAATGCAACATATCCCTGCAGTTTTTTTTTTCCTCATAGATATTATATAATAGCAGATCACTTGGTTGTGTATTTTAGCTCTGAAGTTTATTCCACATTTGTCCCCACAGGGCCAAAACGGAACTAAAGAAGGAAACGGATCCTTTCAAGAAGCAGGTGCTGGACGGCCGACAGCTAGCCCTGAAAATCAGTGCCAACTCTGTGTACGGCTTCACCGGGGCCCAGGTGGGCAAACTGCCCTGCTTGGAGATCTCACAGGTGAGCACTTGCTTGTTCCAGTTAGTCGGATGGCGAATGGCTCCAGGCGAATAGGCATGGTGCAGGTTTCCAGTTCAGTTTTGGCCTGGATCAGCTGTTTTGTTTTTTCCACTCAGTTTTTGCCATATTTTGGTTGTGCACAGATGTGAAGTTGGAGCAGGAACGGTAAGATGCAGGGTTAAGATAAGAAACCACAGAACAGGTGGAGATGTTTAGATGAAACAAGATGACTGTTTTTTTCCCTCATTGTCTGTAGTTACAACACACTAAACATTTTCTCTTTCAGCTTTCCTCCTCACCAAAATTATTTCTATTTGCTAAATACTGAGAGATATGATGCACTCTTAAAGTCAGAGGTTTACCTTTTTTTTTTTTTTTTTTTTTACATTTGCTTTCATCTCTTTCAGAGTGTAACTGGTTTTGGAAGACAGATGATTGAGAAAACCAAGCAGCTGGTGGAGTCCAAATACACAATCTCCAACGGATACCAAGCTGACGCCAGGGTGAGACGCAGCTCTGTGTTTTTATTACTGAAAAAAAAAAAAAAAACTTGCTTTGTTTTTCAGGGATTCCTTTTTGGATTATTTAAAATAGAATGCCTTTTGTCTCTATTAAGGTGGTTTATGGAGACACAGACTCTGTCATGGTCAAACTCGGAGTTACAACCGTAAAAGAAGCCATGGAAATCGGGAGGGAAGCAGCTGAGTGGGTGTCGTCGCATTTCACTCCACCCATCAAGCTGGAGTTTGAGAAGGTAACATTTGTCCTTTGCAAGAACAGATGAGGCTAATATGAGTGCAATCAAGTCAGCAGTGTAATTCTGATACAAACAACTGGTAAGTCAGAACCAAGCGTAAACTACAGGATAAACTTCCTGAGAATCTGTGTTTTGCATTTACAAATGTCTTAAATAACGACTTGCATTGCTTTTTTTAATCCTTTAACAACGTTATACTTGTTGTAAGGCATACCTAACATGCTGATGGTATGTCAGCATGTTAGGCATGCTGACATACTTGCATGCTGATAGTGTATCTTACTATCAGCATGTAAGATGCTGATTTCTATCAGCATCTTACATGCTGATAGTAAGATACACTATCAGCATGCCATAAGATGTACAAAATATATTTTTTTTACACTTACTTTTGTGAAGATGGTTCCTACAAAGTAACCTAAATTCTGAGATGTAAATATTTTCCAGATCTGGATGAGAATAAAACGATTAATCCATTTAAATATAAGAAATTCTTAAAAAGTTGCTCCAACCAGTGATCCCCCCCCCCTCTTTTTCACTAGTTTTATTTAAATATGTTAACTAGTCAGGCAGTCATTCTTATTTGTGTCTGTTTATCCATGTTTTGACCCGTCACCTGTCTGTCCATCAGTAATGTCTTTTCTTTTTTGTAGTTCTTTTTTGACTGAAAGACTAACTACTATATCACAATTTACTCTAAATTTATTTTAAACTTTGGTTTGTATACTTTATTTTTTTAATTCCACACGTTGATAGTGCTGTAAAGTTGTATTTTGGATATGTACGGGGTTTGGGGATGAAAGATGATTAGAAACCTTGTGAATAATGAGCTGTTTGATCTCCTGTAAATCCTTAGAGTGGGAAACGGTGTTCAGTTTTTCCTTTTGGTCACTTCAAATGTATATAATAAAATGAACATCTGTGTTTTTCGATCTCCACAGGTGTATTACCCATACCTGCTGATCAATAAGAAGCGCTATGCAGGCCTGTACTTCTCCTCCAGTCCAGACACGCATGACAAGATGGACTGCAAAGGCATTGAGACGGTCCGCAGAGACAACTGCCCTCTAGTGGCCAATCTTATTAACACTTGTCTACAAAAGATCCTCATTGAGAGGTACCGTCTGCTTTTACTTGCTGCATTATAAATGATCTCCATGTGTTTCTGTAAGCATTAAAACTACAAGAAATTTCACTTTATGTGAATTTTTGTGCGTTGTTTTTCTTCAGGGATCCTCAGGGTGCGGTGGATCATGCGAAAGAAGTGATCTCAGACCTGCTGTGCAATCGCATTGACATCAGTCAGCTGGTCATCACTAAGGAGCTGACGCGCACAGCCCAGGAGTACGCTGGCAAGCAGGCACACGTGGAGCTGGCCGAAAGGTCGGGTTATTTAATAACTCCTCATTTCAGTGAAGGTTTAGAGAAAAGAAAACGTTTTTGTAGGAAATTCCCTTGTTCATGTTGGTGTGTGTGTGTTTTTTTTTTTTTACAGGATGAGGAAAAGGGATGCAGGTAGCGCCCCAAACCTGGGAGACAGAGTCCCTTACGTCATCATCAAGGCTGCAAAGGGAGCAGCTGCTTACATGAAGTCAGAGGTATGCAAACACATGTGGTCTGTCGTTTGTTTCTCTTTAACAGACGTTTAATTCTGCTGTCATTCCTAATTCTCAGGACCCAATCTACGTTCTGGAGAACAATATTCCCATCGACACACAGTACTACCTGGAGCAGCAGCTGTCCAAGCCGCTGCTGAGGATATTCGAGCCCATCCTGGGGGAGACCAAGGCGGAGAGCGTCCTGCTAAGTACGAGAACTCACCGGTGACATCGACCTTTTCTCCGTTGTTTGTTACTAATGCCACGATAACAACACATTTTGCTGGTCGATAAGTTGTCCCAGGATTTATTGCGATAAACGATAATCTTGTTATGAGACCGTTTACAAGTAACGTATAACGTCAGCAATGCAGGTTCCCCCTCTCAAAGGCCAATAAACTTTAATTTTCACTGGAACTTTAAAATATTTTAAAACTCCAAAATAAAACAGAAATAAAAACCAGACAGAACTGGAACCAAACGTAAAATGGATTGTGGAATCTCTGTAAAGGGCTTCCTCTGTGTGTTTGTGTCTCTTTTTAGAGGGCGACCACACGCGCTGCAAGACTGTGTTGACCTCGAAGGTCGGAGGCCTCATGGCATTCGCTCAGAAGAGAAGCACCTGCATCGGCTGCAAAGCCGTGCTCAAGACTGATGGTGTGATTTTGCTTCCTGTGCTTTTTTTTTTTTTAAATTTTATTTGATTTTAATCGATATGTTCTTCTCATGTTGCTTTATATTTCATCTTTGTCCTTCCAGCTGCCGTGTGTGATTTCTGCAAAAAGAAAGAGTCGGAACTTTATCAAAAAGAGGTACGCAAGTGACTGACACAATGCATTTTTCTCATTTTCTTGGTTTTAAATTTTCCCTTTTGACTTTTATTTTTTATACTGGACTAGATCTTCCACCTGAATGCGTTGGAGGAGCGTTTCTCCCGTCTGTGGACTCAGTGCCAGCGCTGCCAGGGTTCGCTCCACGAAGATGTGCTCTGCACCAGGTACAGAAGAAACGCCTGATCCACATTTTTATCTAAACTCGGAAGCTTTCAGCTTTGTTAGCTGTTAAAATGTTAACGCTGTTCTCTGCTCACTGTTCTGCAGTCGTGATTGTCCGATCTTCTACATGAGGAAGAAGGTTCAGAAAGATCTGGATGACCAGAGCAAGCTTGTGTCTCGATTCGGATGGTGATTAAAAACCTCGTCCTGTTGGATAGCGAAGTTGGACTCTACTTGTATGCGTTGTTTTTGACTGTAAAAATGCCTTTTTGACACTTTTTCATGTTTTCTATAGATACATTTATTTGTAGTGCCTTTTTGTAAAATAAAATCAAATTTAATTTTGTCAGGTGGAGTCATTTTCTGGTCAGTAACTGAACAGGTGTTTGGGTTAACATGGCATTAACCGCATGCTGATCTGTATGTTTAACTTTTCGATATTGCGAGGCGTCAGACTGAACTGCTTCAGGGCTGTAAAAGAAGTCGCTCTTTCTCACACCTCAAAACCACAGCTCTTCCTCTGGTTTGTCTGCCGGCTGACAGACAAAACCCTGAGCCTAGTTTAGCTTTGGTACAGACAAAAATAATTGATGGTATTATGCAATAATACCATCTTAAAAGGTATATGTAAAAATTCCTTTTTGAGTTATGGTATTTCCTCATCAGAAACACAAATGGTGTTTTGATTCTTTCATGCATGTTTGAGAAATCCTTGAATCTCCCATGGCAACCATTTGGGGATGCTTAAATACTTGCTCCCACAAAGATTTCCACCCAAATCCTCTTTGGAACTGCAGTCTCCAAGCTGAGCACCCCTTTCCTGCCCCCCCAGACTAGCGGCAGCAGCACTTATCAGGTGGAGCTCATTATGTGAGCTACTTCTCAGAACGGTTGTAAATGGCATAATGGAAAAGCATCACTGATTATGTGCTGACGGTTACATGTTGGAAAGAGCAGGAGTTTCTTAAAGAGACAGAGCCCTTATTTAAATTTGTAAAAGTTCTTTTATGTTTGCTGTACACATCATTTTTATAACTGAAGGTAGTGGCTACATTACATTGTGAAATAACACCAGGAAAACTTCCTAAAATAAACTGCTGCACCGCTTCTGCCTCAAGCTGGTTAACCGCTGATCTGCTAAATGATTTTTACTAATGCAGTTATCAATTTAATGGCTTCCCTGGTAATCACTTGCTCAATTACCATGTGTATGAATATCTCCCAGAGATATGCACGCACTTTGGTTCACAATGCAATGACAGATTGAAATGATAACAGCAGAGGTTTCTAAAGACATCAACTCAAGATGCGACTTTATTTACTTTGCATTCAGCATTGTAATTTTATATATATTTTTTTATTACAGTGGGGGATGCATCAAGTAGTTCTACAAAAATAGAAAACTATTGGTGACATACAATCAAAAACTTGTTTTTTTATATATACTAACCATCCAGCATCTCTCATGATCGGAAAACTGATAAAACACTGGCTTCAGCATGAGTGTGCAAATAACGCGACACGAATGTTTTCACAACTCGCATGCTGTGGCGATGAGGTGACAGAGTGCTGTAACAAAGTGTGCGCAGACAGTGAATTTTAAACGCAACCAACACTGAGAATGTTACACACGATGCGAGTGTGCAGGCCTGTAATGCGGATTACTCAGAGCCCGATTAGAAGCATTTTCCTGAGTAAATTTCGAAAGTGGCACAAACTTGTCCTGATGTCTAATGAACACAAATGTATAAAGTTAAGCTGGGACACTAATATTGCCGACATACAAAATAAATCGCAGTTGTGTTTGAGAGGCAACAGACATCTGTTCTGAAATGAGTGGAAAAACCCGACTAAAGCGACGAGCAAAATGTCCTATGAAAAATATACTGAAGGTATTTGTTCTCTTTCAAAGTCAAACACTGACATTTGATAAAAAAAAAAAGTCTCACAAGTATTTAATGCGAATGCAGCCTGAGCTCCTCACCCATTGTTATTGTGCAAAGTGCAGTTACGCACAGCATACAGTGAAATCCTCCTTAAGCAGATGAACACTGAAGAAATGACAAACATGGCGACAGCAGAAATGGTTGCAGCGACGAAAATCGATTCTGCACCGTCTGCTTCACCGACGCCTCCACAGTGAGGAAGGGCAGTATTATACAAGTGCTCTCAGGGATGCTGGCTGGATGTGTGTGTGTGTGTGTGTGTGCGCTATAGTATAATGCAGCGTCTCTGATTGCTCTTCTTGCTCTTCTTGTTGCTGCGGTTGGTCTCCTTGTATTTTCTGATCTCCCGCACCAGCGAATAGAAGGCTTCCTCCACACCCTGCAAGACCAGACAGAAAAAACAACAACATGTAGATTGCACATGAAGGAACCCAAAGTTACCCAATAATTTGTTTGGTAACATTTTCAGATTTTGGTTTCTGGAGAAGTCTTGTTTACGTCGACTTCTTAGTACGTGCGTTAGTGGTGGTGAAATCAATCGCTTTCAAAAAGTGTATTTAATGGTGGTAAACTTTTAGAATTTTATGGTTTTAAAAGGTAACCCAAAATTAGGTTCCTTCGAAATTTGACGCATTACTTAAGAAATAAAAGCATTTTAATAAAGAAATCTGAAGGCCATGTTTACCGTTTTTAAAATCGTGGGGAAAAAACGGACCTGAAGGTTTTCTAGCGGATACTCTCCACAAGGAGGCTAACCCACAAAAGGCCATTGCTAACAAGCTGCTCTTCATAGAGAGCTGCAGCCAAGGGTATTAATGGAAGGTTTAGTGGAAGAAAAAAGTGCGTTAGAAAAACCAAGTAAATTAAGTCAGACCTCTTAATCCTCATATTACAAACAAAACTTATTAAAAATACCATTTTGTGTGCAATCAACCTATTCAATTTCCAAGTGCCACTTTTTGAATTCAACTGCTGAGCGAAATTAACTTTTCCATTAGTCTAGTTGAGTTGAAGCACAGGCGTTTCCACACACCTGTCTGGTTTTGGCGGACGTCTCTACGAACGGCACTCCGTATCTCCCTGCCAGCTCCTGAGCATGCTTCGTCTCCACCGTGCGGGCGCTCAGGTCGCTCTTGTTCCCCACCAGCACCATGGGAACGCTGTCGCTGTCCTTCACCCGGTTGATCTGCTCTCTGAGGAGATGACATGTAAAAAGACAAAACAAAAAAACAAAAAAAAAAAACAAATCCTCAGACATTGAGGCTGACCTCGTTCGCAGACACCTATCTGGGTCAGTCACGTATTTTTTAAAAATGTTTTTACGAATAAACTGCAGAGTCTAAACCAGTGTTTCTCAACTCTGGTCCTCACCGCCCCCCTGCTCTGCATGTTTTAGATGTGCCTCTTTTCCAGAACAGCTGATTCAAATGATTGCATGACCATCAAGTACTGCAGAAGCCTGTTAATCACCCAGAGATACAATTCAGGTGTGTGGCAGAAGGGAAAAACCTAAAACATGCAGGATAGGGGGGCGGTGAGGACCAGGGTTAAGAAACACTGGTCTAAACTCTAAAAGAGCCGTTCGTCTTGAAATGAGCAAAGCTACGGGAGCTGCCTTGATTCAAACGGTCACAGAAATTTTAACCGCACTCAGCATGTGCGCTTGAGATAAATGCGCACAGTTCCTGCTCAGCAGGAAATGGCCTTCATAGCTAAACTGTTGAGTCCTGCAGTAATCTGATGTCCTAAAAACAGTAAAGTGTGACTCAAACTGTTCTGAGTCAACACAGTGTCTCTCCAGCACCAATTTACTGCAGATCCAGAATTTTGAGATGTTTTTTTTTTTTTTTTTTTTTTTTAAATCATTCTCTACCTGTAAAGGTGAACGTCATCAAAAGACTTGGTGTTGTTGATGGCAAACACACAGAGGAAGCCCTCTCCAGTCCTCATGTACTGGTCCCTCATGGCGCTGTACTCCTCCTGACCTGCAGTGTCCAGGATGTCCAGCAGACACGTCTCCCCGTCGATCACCACCTGTTTTCTGTATGAGTCCTGCGTCACAGACACGTCATCATCCAAACAATTAGACCGGCTGAAGTCGCATCTTAGTTATTCATCATGCACTAACGGGACGTTAATGATTTATATCTCTGAGCGACACTAAATGAAACCGATAAGATCTTCCATATAAGCTTCAGGATTTCATTTACCAGATGTGAACAGTTTTCTCTTTTCAGCAGAGCTGAGAAAACATTTAAAATTTGGTTCCAATCTGTGTGGGGGAAAAAATAAAAAACTCTTCGACTTCATTATGCCTCCGCTATGAGGCGTGATGTCCTCTGCATCTATTTCACAGTTACGGTCTCTGCTTAAGAAAAACACTGTCTACATTCAGTATGGGCCTGTTCAGTCGAGGTAAACTGAGCTTTCAGAAAAAGGTAACTCCACAGCGCCCTCTCCCACCTGTTCCTGCACACTGTTGGGTCAGCTGGCTGAAAGAAGGCGGCTACTGCAGTTTGTTTTGCAAACAGAAGACGCATATTTCCAGTGCTGGTCGAGAACAAACAGCCATAATGTGGAAACTAAGTGCACGTCTAGTATTCCTTTTACTGAGGGATCGCGGTTTTGAAACTTTCACAGATGGTGAGCCGGGAGCAGCACATCTGCTAAGCAGACAATTGCAGACTACAGTAGACAAATAACCAAACAATTATTGGCATTAAATAATCATTTGACTTTAGCTGTAGAGTACTGAAAGTAGAATCAAGTAGCAGAGCATGTCTATCGCTCTGAATGTGAGTTTTTAAATTACATTGTTATACATCTACTTGAATTAAAAACAATATTGAAATATAAAAACGAGATCAATTGCAATTTGGTGCTATATGAACGAGCAGAATGGTTTCATGTACTCGCATGTTACTACCAAGTAGTTTGAAATAAGTGAACAATGCTTCGTTAAATAGACACCTTTACTTAAGACTATCCCATAATCTAAATTCTATCGTAACTTTCCATAATGAAATCAAATTAAAATGCTGCTGTGCACTGCTCGTCAGCTAGATGAAAGATGGCACTTGCACTCGTCTCCAGTTCATAAGACACGCCTTATGGAGTTTCTTCTAGTTACAATAAAAGGCAGTCGTGGTGTGGAAGCAAAAGGAGCACATTTCATGTCTCATAATAAAACTAAAACCATTTTAAAACTGCATGTTATGCTCCAAGCAGCAGTGTGTCAAAAAAAGAAGTCTGAGGAATTACCCAGGAAATATGAGTTTGATACATTTCCAGTGCAATCTGCACAGTAAGCAATTCAAAATAACTATTAAAATTTACCATCCGCTTATATTTTTAGCTTAAATCTACATGTCAAAAACAAAATTAGCAATGTATTGATGTAAAATTAGAACCTGGAGGAGTGGTTACATGAAAATGCTATTGTACGTTTCTACTCAAGTGTATAATTTTAACCAAATCCCAAAAAAGGCCCGTGATTAATCTGAATAAAATCGTTCTTACATGATTAATGATCTATAAAAATCGGGAGTGGGAAGCTACATGACATTGAAGTGAAGCTGAAATTAGATAAATTACTTTTACATAAATAAAACGCTTTTAAATTACTCAAATTTACATTTTTTTGGACTTTAATGTTACACACAGTCCTCTTAAGTTTTGGTGCCAACAACATAAGCTCCAACATGACAGATCAGACTGCAGTGGCCTTTAAAAAGTCATGCAACCATTAACACCAGAATAACCCCAACACACCCTGATATTTAGAGCAAATACAGCTTCCTGGAGCGGTGATCGCAGTGTGACGGTCGGGTTCTCACCTCGATGGTGGGATCATATTCGTCCACGAAGTGGTTCTGGATCAGCTGGATGGTGAGAGCGCTCTTCCCCACACCTCCAGCACCGACCACCACAAGTTTGTACTCGGTCATGCCTGCAAAAACGAGCCGGGTCAACAGGTGGTCGAGTCTGTTGGAAGTTAAAAGCCGCGATTTCATAATCTCCCTGTCCAGAAAGTATCAGGTGATCATTAACAGATCTTCCCCCAGCGACAATCCGCTCTCTCCTCCCCGAACTGACATGGCGAAGAGTCTAACCCAGATTTATCTCCCCCGTACAAGACGCTTTTATTTAACTTAAGTCAGTTTTATCAGTGCGGAGAGGAGGCGAACGAGGGCGAGAAGTAAGAAAACACGTTCAGCTGCGCTTACCTGTCCGTGGGGCTGTGTAACACTGCGAGTTGAAAGTTGAGTTTCCGACAGATAAATGAGATTAGCTACATAACGTTAGCAAGAGATTATTTCCTTATTCAAAGCACTGGTAGAAACACTTCAGTGTCTGACAACTTATCTGTCAGACTAGATAAAGAAATGACTATTCAAGCTGGACAATCCTCAAAGTGCGAGGGGAAAAAAATGGTGAACTTAACACAAAGATGTACAAGCAAGAAAATGTAGTAATTTCTACTTCTTCTCAGCTGCGGTTCATTGTAAGTGAAGCCCTAATCGCCTTGTGAGGCAACCAATCAAAAGAAGATATTAACGAACGACGTCTTTTCTGGCCAATCAGAATGAAGCTTTGGTTTGTAGTCCCGCCCAAAGATTGCAAAAATCCCCAATCACCAACAGTTTTGTCTTCGTTTGGGCGCGGCTTCCCGGACAGCTTTTCCTTTCTTGCGTCTTTAACTTCGCCTCGGACTCAACATGCTGATGAGCAGTTCTTACAGGCGTTGCGTAACATACAAAAAAAAAAAAACCCTCCGGTAACACATTTAAACTATTATTTTGTCTTTATTTGAACCCCGCTACCTATTTAGGGGTTATTTTTGAAAGTTTTACCAGGGATATGTTTACCTTTATTTTATGACTCTTAGAACGTGTATTCCGAGATGATTAAATATTTACTGCCCTCTGATTGTGGCACTTGATAACTGCAACTCAATATTTACATCTGAAACATCTGTGTTGACAAATATGGACGAAGTAATAAAAATAGTGAATATACAGAACTTACTTCCTTTGCCTCACAGATTCAGTTCATAGGGTAAAAACATTCCTGAGATAACTTGGACAAATATTGACAGGAGAGCATCACACAGTTGCTGCAGATTTGTTGGTTGGACATGATACTAATTTTCTATTCCATCAAATCCAAAACGGGCCCAGTGAATATTCATTTAGGTCTGTCTGGCACAAACAACACAGAACATTCAATCTCATGGACAAAGATTAAAGAAGCTTGTAGTTTTGTGGTAACAATAATAAAGAAAATAACTAAACAATCATTTCTTTTTGGAATTAGTGTTTTGTGAAATCTCTGTGCAGATATCACATGAAAGTAGGAAACCCTATAAGATTAGCTTTTTAAAATAGTTTTATGTAAAAAACAAACAAACAACAACTTAGTTTTATATCTCTTTTGGTATTAACAGCCACTTTAAAATGCCCCGAAGAACTGCATGTAGTTCCGGTTGCAAACCCTTCATTTACAGGAAAGCTTAGTTAGATTTTTTAGGAGTTTCAGTACCCTCTAGTGTTCGTAATGAAGAATTACATTTTTTTTAAAAGATTTGTTATGAAGAAACAGGATAAAGGGGAGAGATGACCAGCCTCAGGTTTGGCAATTCAGTGTTACTTTTAAAGCTTAAATCATGAGATTAATTAAGAAGCTGCAATCTGTCAGATACTGACCACATTAGAGTAAGTGGGATTGTCATACGAGCTTCCGCTTAAAGAAAGATAAAACACAAATAACACTAGAGAAAATGTCAAAGTTGAAATTATTTTTGAAAATCAATACAATTTGTAATATAAAAACAGAGTATTGTAGTTTTAAAAAAAGAAAAGAATGACAAAAAAAGTTTTATATATATATATATATATATATATATATATATATATATATATATATATATATATATATATATATATATATATATATGAATAAAAATTCCCCAACTTTGACCCAGATCCACAGTGGATGCATGCTCTGGTAGGCCCCACACCCAGATTATGTCCTTCAGTCGGCTGCGCTGCAGTTGACTGTGTGCCCCGCCCTCTGCCTCATCATCCTCACTTCCCTTGTCTTTGACGTCCATGTTTCTGCCTCACGCTTCCCACTGAGTGCATCTGCTCTCCGATCTAATCTTTGCCTAAAATCACAGCAATAATCCTGAATCCATCTGTCCTGATAGAGACGGAGAGAGGCAGAGCAGGAGAGAAAGAGATGCAACTGTGGCCCTCGTGTAAAAACACTGTGATCCAGCGTGTCACAGTGTCGCAGGACCTTCAGCGTAAATAATGAATCCCTACGACACGATTTTGTTGAAACCATCTGAAGTCGCTCCAATCTTTATTTTACACAAGGTTCATCTCACATGTACAGTTTTTTTTTATACATAAAATATTTCCACATTTCTGCAAGTTTAAATTATGATTCCTCTTTTTTTCTTCTTTGCACACCAATTCTCACCCAGCAAACCACACATTTCGTCGAGAGAGGAGAGGAGAACATTTGAACAGCCAAAACGTTTGACAAAGAAGAAAATCCATTAAAGATACACTGATACGACACACGGAAACAAATTGTTACACAAGAAATAATCATTCATGTCTCAAACACGTTACACTCAGAACCACATCTGGCTTACCCTTTTAAACAATGATTTGCCAACAGAGGCTACCAACATTGTTGTGCCCTCACATCCGTTTTTTAACATTCTTTGTTGATGACAAACGGGATCTGAAAAGGACTCATTTATACATGGTTTCATTTGAAAGATGCTACTTAACATTAAAGCGGGAGTTATGTGTGTATTTGAGTATTTGAGCATGCATACGTTATTTTATTAATTCAGTGCAAAGGTTAGGCAGCTCAGTAGTTCTTCTGCAAGGAAATCCTGAGCGGTCATTGCACCAAAGCAGAGATAGACGCTATAACAGGGTGTGCAAAAAGAAACATCTGAATGCATGGCTGTATTTTACACATTCACTGACAATGTTTGCCAGAAAATGCCTGCTTATTGGCAGTGGTGGGTTTCTCCTTTATGATTAAAATCTGTGTCACCATTCTTTCTGCGTGTTTGCACTTGGCTGTGCATGGATGAAATAAACACTCTGTATTTTGTCGTGCATTACGAGTGGGAAAAAAAGGAGAGAGATACAGAGAGAGAGAGAGAGAGAGAGAGAAAGAGAGAGAGGGCTGGAAAGTTGTGCAAATTAAAACACGCTCACCGCACAATGTTTCAGCACCGGCATCTGACACAACCGCACACTTGCTGCCACACATGCACACGTGACACCTGGCCCCTTGACACACACACACGACTGAAATTAAGCTAGAAAGGACAGAGAGAAAAATAGAAAGGCAAAGATAGACCAGAAGAGAAGGAGCTCCAGAGACAGAAGGAAAGGCTTGACCCCTTAAAGTGTAAGGTCAGGGTTTACAGCAACCGTTGTTCTGCTAAATAAGCAGTGAAGTCATGACACTTTGTTTACTTACATCTCAGATAGGAGGGCGTAAACTTCTGCTTTTATGTGCAGTTCAGGTCAGACGTTTATATACACTCATATGTATATGTTTATATGAAGGGTGGAATCATCGTGCAGCAAACAATTTAATTAAAATGTCCCTTAGCAATTTGCAGAGACGCCACTGACTTTTTGTAGGTTATTGGATAATTCTGTTTGGTTTGGTTAAAGGCACAAATCAAAATTTAAATTGTCCACAATTTTTAAAATAGGGTCAAAGTATCTGTTATTCTTAATGTCAGCCTAATTTTTCCATTCCAAAAGCATTTGTAATGTTTTTTTAGGGATCACTGTTCTTTTTGTAAATCCATCTGTTTCCAACACTGAACCATCTGGATGTTGGCTTGTGGTGAAGTTGAAGAACGTTTTCCTTTCTCATTATTCCGCTTACTTTGGATAATATACAAATACCAGTGGCACTAAAATTGACCCTCAACATAACACTTCCTCTACCATGCTTGACAGCTACTACAGTTTTCTTAGACATAAAACATCACATCCTAGAAATGAACAATTATTATTGTAGGGGCTTCTTTTTTTTTTTTCTTTGGCATCCCATCAGTCTACGGCAGTGGCTTCAATGTGAATAAAGCTAAGGATCACTCACAGAGAGCTTCAGAAAGATCTGGACAAGCCAGTTTAATACTTGCAGAACAAACTCTGGTGAAATGGAGCCAGAGCTGAACTGTTTGGATGTCGTTACACTCACCGTGTCTGGAGAACCAGGTGTGTATGTCCTCCAAACAGAGCTGGTGCTGGAAAAAAGGAATAGTTTGAATGCATCACTACGGTGCATGTAAACCTCTGACCTGAACTGCTTATCTTATAGTTGACCCTGTCCTGGGTGAGACACTGCTAAGACCAGGTGCACTTTAACAAACACACTCACGCACACACACACACACACACACACACACACACACACACACACACACACACACACACACACACACACACACACACACACACACACACACACAAACACACACCTTTTCCATCAAAAATCTGATTATATTTATGTGCACAGACTGATGCAAGCCAACACCAAGACCCTCCTTTTCACTGACATGTTTTGTTATTTCTTCTGAAACTATGAAGCTGCACCATTTCACAATGCATTTTTAGTAATTTAAACACTGTTTTATGCCATAAATTGAAAAACAAAATGCTTACAAATAAAAATGTAAAACCAACAGAAGACCACCGCTTTTTCTCTCTCACACACAAACTCCTTGGCAACGGCTTGGAAACAAAACTGCTGCAACCTTCACCATGAAGTCAGGATCAGGAAGAAAGTCTGGGAGAGAAGAGTCCAGATTTTGTAAATGAAAACTGTATTTTTCTGCAGATCCACTGCACTGGCTGCTGCACACCCACACACACACACACACACACACACACACACACACACACACGCACACACCTGCAACATAGTGGATCCAGACACTTGACATGTGCAGCTGCAAAGGTCCTTAAATGTCCTCAGTGTACCTCAGCAGCTCCCTTACAATCCTTCTACACAAACAATCTCCTCATTTACTTATGTTTTTGTTGAAATCACTTCGGTCTTCTATGTCAGCTCCTTCTCCTTCCCTCCACCATGCATGTAAGAGTTGTATCCCGGCGGTTGCACGTACTCCTCAGACTTATCCCAGTCTGTAACCCATCCCGCTCCGCCGCCTCCACCGCTGCCGCCTCCTCCTCCATTTGAACCCACCACCGGCTGACCCATGGCCCCGTACTGGCCGCCTCCACGGTAGAGCTCCTCCGTTTCATTGGCCAGTTCGTCCTCGTTGATTATTCCGCATTTCTCCTCGCTCGTGTCCTCTATGTCGGCCCACCACTGCTTCTCCCCGGATGCAAAGATCCCTGAATGGGAGAGGAAGTTCTGTTGCTTCTAAGTGGAACCAAACAGACCATTTCTTGGAGCGGACCATACCTACCGTAGAAAATCACTCCTCCGTAGTGGACGACGGACGCTATGAGGAAGACGTACTGCCACTCCTCACGCGTCTAAAGTTATACAAAAGATCCAACTTAGTTTCAAATTCGACCTAAAACATCGTGAATAGCTTGGAAGAAGTAAATCGGTCACCTTGTGTTTGGTCATGGCCCCCACTATGAGAGGACACACCATTCCTGACAACGTTCCCACTCCGTTGGAAATTCCCATCAGTATGCTGGCATATCGAGGGGCAATATCCAAGTGATTAACGTTAAACCCTTTAAAAGCAAAAACAGACATTGTTAAAAAGAATGCTTTAAAAACCCTAGAATAAATTCATGTTGTTTTTTTTTTTGCACTTACATTTTCTGACATATTTTAGAACAATCGAACCTTTAATTTGAGTATTTTAATTCAGTGATAAAGTGCTAATCCTCCAAGTAGCCTTGGATAAATATATGGAAATTTAGCTTATGCTTCCTGTTAGAGGACTTGTGATGTCTGTTTCTTTTTTTAATGGCATTGGAAACCTAATTAAATCACTAAAATACCAGAAAATTATTCATCATTGGGTCTTTTGACGGGACAACAATTTGAAAACATGGGGAATCGACTAAATTTGAAAGGTTTCGTCAAACACAGCAGAGAAATCCGGTCACTTGGAAGCAAAAGAAGAAGAAATTAAAAGGAAATACAAGAAAAATAAATAAAAGATCATGCTGAAATAACAAAGGAAGCTGGTATACAGAGTGTAAAACAGGCTGATCAGACTTAACAAGACTCTGATACTTATTGACATTTGTTTGCTGGGTTGCAAAGCCTTTGAGCAGACTGAGGGCATAGATAATTCATAAATTATTCTTCACATTGACTGCTGGAGTCTGCTCAGTGAGAGACAGGAGAGCCGCGCTGCGTCTCACAGGAGCGCCGTCAGATTTCAACCTTCTGCTCTTCCTGCTAAAGCTGCAGCTTTTAAAAAAATATATATAACTATGGATTCCAGTAAAGTTGCAGCTCTCCACAAGCAAACTTGTTATTTTATTGACGACTAAGATTTTTGTTTTTTCATCATAGCTGTCCAGACTGCATTTGTAAATAAGCTAACAGGCTGCAAAGCAGTATTATTACATTAATGCTATCAATCTTCAGCACCCTTTGTAGTCTTTCTTTGTCCTGTTTTTAGAGGGCATTGTTTCACAACGGGACAATATTCTACAATAAATAATCGTTTCCTTGCCTGTGAGTTATAATTTGGATGCTGAAAATCCCAACTCAATCCTCAAAGAAAAGCACTCGGTCACTTTTTGAGTCCCATCGATTTTAATAACTGATTTTCACTGTGGTGTCAGGATTTCCACTCCCAGTTCAGAGAAGAGGACAGTCATGTCTCTACGTCTCAGTCTCAGCGTCTCTTGAAAGTGATAAGAAGTCAAATCTATTTGGTCTTTGATTTTTGAGTTTGTTTTTAAGAGTAAATCCTAACTTTCCTCAGCTCTTAGTGCTGTAAAAGTGGTTTGTCTAATGCTTTAAATTCCTCACTGTGTCCCAGTGGAAGCTGCTTATTTAACTTTTTCTTCTCATTGGATCATCAGACCATAAAAAAAAGAAGAATAAACACATAATATTAGCCCACTAGCTCATTTCCAAACTCTCAACTAAAAGACTTCCTCAGTTCTAGTGAACTGATGAGGTGTAAAAACTTTTCAGATTATTCATACCCGGTGGATTTGCTTTCACATTTGGTCTTGCTACAAGTACAAACTTTGGTTTAGAAAAGTTTGCTGTGTTTCTGTTAAGTGCCTTGAGTCAACTCTTAATAAACAACAAGCATTTGCTGCAACTTCCACTGCAAGCCTTTTTCTTTTTTTGCACATTCTTTGCATTTGGGGTGAAAAGCATCTTGCAACAAATTTAAAATTGTACTAAGGCATAGACCTTCATTGGTTAATCCTAACACATGAATAGGTTTTTATCTAAAACACCCCCCTGACTGCATGTTCAGGGGGGTGAAGAGGTGAATCTCTTGAAAGTTTTTTTTATTTTCAGTCTTTGTCAAGTCATCTTCTAGGATTCAAAGTGACATAAGATTACAATAAAATAGAGACACTAAAAACATGTTTCCTACCTGAGATTGCAAAGCCGCTGAACCCCACAGCAAGGACCAGGAAACTAATGGCAATAACTTTAGTGTGAGAAAATCCAACCACCAGAAGGAGGGTGGCCTCCATCCCGAAACCTGAAACAGGAGAACAAATACGCAGTTAAACTCTTTTCTTACCGCGGCGCTGCTCTTGATTACCAAGCGGTGCATCATAAATATGTCATTAATGCCAGACGTGTTTTTTTAGCACATGGTGATACGACCTTTAAGCTGTGCTGAAATATTAATATGATTCTGCATACAGCTGCTCTTTAAGGCCTTCTAATGGATGCTGAGGAGAGGAGCTGGTGTTGATAAATGAGTCACTTATGTTTATAATGTTGTTAATTTTTAATGTTATTTAACAGTGTTGCACATTCAGACCACAACACAAGACAGGAAGTGTTTTTTTTTCTAATCACTGGCTTTCAGTTTTTATACATTTCTAACTTATTTTGAGTTTCCTTTTTTTTATAATATATCTGTATAAAGCAGAAGAAATCACATTTTATAAATATGGATAATATTAAAATTTTTAAATCCTATGTAGTTTTTATTTGACAATGTTCCAATTAAAATAAAAATCAAAACAGTGTAAAGAGTCGTGGCTTTCGTCGATGAAACTCTTTTTTTTTTTTCTCCGTTTCCTGTTCAGTTCTCCCTGTCCTTCTCCACAGATCGTCCTTCCAGGCCTGACGCTCTCTCACCTCCACAGTTCATGAGTTTTCTGACGTTGGTGGTGGACATCAGGTTGTGAGTCCTCAGGTAGTCGGCCAGTTGGCCTCCGATAGGCACGATGATTGTCATCACCAGATGGGGCAAAGCTGACACAATGCCCACCTGACGAGGAAAAATATGTAGAAACAGTGGGAAATAAGAGCGAGCCAGAAAAAAAGACAAAGGGAGAAGGTTTTGTACAGAGAAATTTAACTTCGCAATTACAAGGTATAAAAATACCTCTATAGTTTTTACTATTGAAATAAAACTGCCATGTCTTCATTCTCTGCTTTTTGTTTGGACAGTTTTGTAGGCTTGTTAGAGTCCCGATAAGGCAGAAGTGTAGACTTTAGTAAAACCTATAAAAGACAACGCAGGAACATGTTCTTGACTTATTGGTGGATATGTGGCCTTCACAGCTCAAGGTAACGAGCTGTTATAATTTTTGACTGTTTACTTTAAGAGTGATTAACGATTAAATGTTCTCCCTCCACTCATTGGCAACACCTGTGAAGACAACCTCAAAATATTCAAAACATTATGTACCAAAAATACAATTTTAGACCATGATAACTAATAAAGAAGATAAAAAAACACAGAGGTAAGTGATGATTTTAGCTGGATTTGAAGGCAGCTCTCCATCTAAGCTGGCAACTCCTGGATCTGCCATAGAAACTGATAAAAAATAAAGCTTGAATGGGGTGAAAGGTGAGGAAAAAGGTGGGAGGATTTAACACGTAGGACTTCTGGATTTGACGTGCTTTTGGCATGTGGAACAAGAGGGAGTGATTTGGGAGTGGCTTTTCTCAAAATGTCACTATTCCCACTAAAAGGACAACGTCCAAAAGCAGATTAATTTCAGCGTAAAGACAAGTAGATGAAAACAGGATTCACCAACTACACAGACATTTTACAAAAAACCCAAATATTAAATCTTTTGTAGTTGTTGGTACCAAATCATCATGCGGTTCCTTTGTATAAAATAATTCGCTGTTAGCATAAATGCTAGCATGACGTCAGTCGACCTGATATATGGAATATCGATGTACTTTAATTTTGCACTACAAAGAACAATGCTTCCTACGCACACACAAAAAAAAATTAAAAAATCTGTAAAGAAAAACACCCACATGAAAACCTAGAAGAACACCTAAAATTATTTTTTTATTTCCTTAGATGTGGAGAACGTTTGATATATCATTAGTGTTATTGAATAAAGGATTCTAATTTTCTTGTTAAAATATAAAAACTAAAACTGGCAACAATCACTCATGGTCTAGATCAGGGGTCCCCAAGCTACGGCCCGCGGGCCGGATCCGGCCCGCCACCTCATTTGGTCCGGACCCCTGAACAATACCGGATCCGGCCCGCCTCCTCATACCAGAGAGCATTCAGTGTTTTTTTTTCATATATTGTATTTACCGGTTTATATGTAGATTTTTCTTCAACCACCAGGGGGCTTTTGAGCAAATGTGAAACTTACTTACCCTCAATGGAATATATACTCGTCAGTCCCAGTCACCGTTTCGCTGACGGTTTTTTCCATTTGCATTCTGGGTAAAAATCGATCTAAAAACGCGAATATGTCGTCCGCCCCCCCACCCCCCCACCCCCCGCTCGACAGAACGGCCCCCGACCACAAAAGGGAACACTTATGTGGCCCTCGCAGGAAAAAGTTTGGGGACCCCTGGTCTAGATTTTTAAACTAATATAATCCAACTTGGAGGCTGCAGGTCAGTGCAGAGGTGGGTGAAGATACTCTCCCCACTGACTGGGTATGAGAAACCTTTTGGGGCGAAACCACACAAGTGACGTCGTGCTTTTTAAATCCTCATATAGAGAACCATATTTCCCATCTACAAAAAAGTGTTCTTAGACTCACCTTGCTGATCTCAAAGCCAAAAACTTCTTCAAAATACGCAGGCTGGCTGATGAGCAGCAGGTAGAAGGTCCAGCTCCTGCAGAAATTGGCCACAATGATGGCGTAGACTGGCATGGAGGTGAAGAAATGTCTCCATGGCGTTTTAAATTTCTGCCATCAAAAGAAAAATGGGAGTATTCCATTGAGCATTCAACCTCTCTTATTTGTAAATTTATGAATACAAATTTCTGAGTGTCATGTAGCAGCATACATGAAGGGGATTGAGAAAAGCTGCAGATTCTCCGATTGCATCTTCGATGTATTTTCTCTCCTCTGGAGTGATGGTGGGATGGACTGCTGGGCTCTCATATGACACAAGAATCCAGAATAAATACCAGAATATCCCAAAACTGCCTGGGAGAGGACGAGACGACGACAGAGCGGGGACAGCAGAGAAAGAGAAAAAAAATTAAAGTCTGAAAAGATAACTTACGTTCAGCCACTTTTACTCTGATAATCCAAAACAAAATCCCAGTGCCACTAACCACTTCAAAGACCAGCTCTGTGTTGTTTAATTTAAGTATAAATCCAGCTATTTCTGCTAGAAAACAGCAGTGAGCAAAACAGCAACAAGAAAACCAGAACCGCTTGCCTTTAAAGTCACAGTCACGCTTTTTTCCCTGTTTGCCACATTAAAAATCCCCAATAAAATATCACCTATATACATCTTACAAATAGTGTTTGTAATGAAAAAAAAAAGCCGTAAAGTTTTGTACTTATAGGACGTGCACACATTTGCGAGGCACTGTTTAAGGATACTAACCATAGACATAAAATACAGAAGGCCACCCGATGTATTGCACCAGTATCCCAGCTAAAGGCATGGCCACCACTGCCCCAGCATAGGATCCTAAAGCCCAAACAAACACAAGAAAACAACACAAATGTAAAATAATTTATTTCTTTCTCATTACATTAGCAGGCCTCTATGGTCTTCTAATATTTTATAGTTATCAACTTCACAGGTAGGCCTGTCACAATAATCAATAAATCAATTAATTGCATGATGATCTCTTTCTACCAAAAACTGGATGACAAAAGTCTTCACTTTGGTCTCAACTAGCCGTTTTTTTTTTGAAGGGCAATTTTCTTTACAAAGTCATCAAAATTAATTTTATTTGCTGTTTAATTTATTTTATTTTTGATATTTAAATTGTCCTCCAGTTGCAGTGTTAATTGTTCATTAAAATGTAAAGTTTACTGATCTTCTAGAATGTGCGTTTGCGTTATTATTTCAAAACAACAACATTATCGCTATGGCAATAACTTCTGGAGCAATTTACCGTCCAGCAAAATTTGTTATCGTGACAAGCCTCTTCACAGGCCTTCTTCAAATTCAGACATTTTGTTCAAGCAAGCTCCAAAAACTTTACCACAAAAGGCTGTTGTGGCTAATCGACTTCTCTCAAGAGGAGGCGCCCACTTGGCCCAGATCCCGTGGCAGGCTGGGTACGATACACCCTGAAGGACAAAGCACGGTCAGCAAATGCTTGTGCACAAAGTCCAGCATGAAGATCTGCATAGACACACATACTGCACCTCAACAAGGCCTTGACATATCCTCACAAGAATGACGCAGCTGTAGTGGCAGCGAGCTGCAGACGGGATCAGCATGTTGAGGACGGACGTGGCCACGATGGCGAAGCCAAACACTCTTAAAACACACACAAAGGACAAGCAGGTTATACGAGTCGAAACCGAAATCAACGTCAGAAGAAGAAAAGCGGAACGGAAAACACTTAGAAAATGCACCAGAGGAAGTTTGTGTGCAGATCATAGATCAGCTAGAAGTGGGAATATTCACCTGTTGGCTGCAAATTTTTGACATATAAAGCCACCGGGGATCTGTGTGACTATGTAGCCCCAGAAAAAGGAGCCGTGGATCATCCCCACCGTCTCTGGGTCCCAGGTGAACTGTGCAGCCTGAAAGGAAGAATAACATTTTATTGGTTGCAAAACTAACCAACACATTTGTTTTCATTGAACTGCACTGAAGCCCTCATTTAAGCCATCGAAAAAAGATATTGAAACTGACCTGAACCAATGATTTACCTTGATAAATAAAACTATGATTTAAACCTTGTGCTTTTCTATGTTGGTTTTGTCAAAAAAAAAAAAAAAAAAAAAAAAAAAAAAAAAATCAAAAATCAAAAAAATAAAGTTTTTTAATGACACTGGCGATGTCTGAATGAATTTTCCTCTTTACTGATTCACAAGAAGTAAAAAAAAAATTATTGAATTGTAATATATTCCAAAGTGATATGTAACCTAATGCATTAAACTATAATATACTGAGAACATGAAAACATGGCTCTTTATTGCCTGTTAGTGCATTCGGTAATTTTCATTTAAACAATAGAAAGAGGTTTCTTTCTTCCTTTATTGTAACACAAAGGGGATTTTTGGGTGTAACAGCAACAATAAATGTAAAGGTTACCATAAAACGTTAAAGTTTTGCTGTTCAAGTAGACATTTTTGTTTTCTGTCTCTGTTTATACCCCTCCTGACCCCACTAAGGGACAAGGGTGTAAAGAAAATGGATGGATGGATGGATGTCTCTGTTTATCCACTTGTCTCAAAAGTGACTACCTGTGGTGTGTCCTAATCCTGGTCTGCAAAAAGATTACTCTTATTTTACCAAAAAGTTGCAAACCTTTCATAATTATGACATATAATCTAAATATGTTCATCTAGAACCACAGAAATGTCAAATTAATTGAGAAAAGCTGTATTTTTAAACCTAAATAACATATCTTTACAAAGACCATAAACCGTAAAACTAGCTTGAACAGGACAGGAAGTAATGTTAGCAATCTTCAGAAATTAGCCTTCACGTTGCTTTTTTTCCCCCCTGCAAAATATGTCCTTCAAATTATTTCTCACTACTCACCACAAGCACCTCCTTGTTGCCTTTGTAGACCGTATGGTCATTGACCATGCTAACGATAGCAACACCCAGGTTGCATCGAATACCAAAGGAGATGCAGAAGCCCAGACCGCACAGGATGGCGATGATGTACCGCCTGGGGAGGCCGAAGCAGGTGCAGTCCACCACGGGCAGCTCCTTCTCCTCCACCAGCTCCGGGCGGCCTTCAGCTGATAACTCGATGGTTTCTCCATTGGCCTGTCGTTTCTCAATGAGCCTAAAGCGGGCAGACAAAATAAAGTATATTTAAAAAAAGGCCTATGAGCCAACTGTAGCGCTTTCCCAAAGATGGATTGACCAAAAATTTGTTTCTTCTCCTTTTTGGAAAAATTTTTTTTGTCTCTATGTTAGATCTAAGTCTGCTTTTTGAACTTGTTTGTTTATTAATAAAAGTTGTGCTTCAGTTTTAGCACAGACTCTAGTAAAAGAGAATAGTAATCTCACTGAGTGTTTTATCCTGGTTAAAAACGGATTCAACAAAAAGGTTTGAACTCAGACACTTAAAACAAACTAAAAAAAATATGTATTTCCTTTAAAAAATTTTTACAACCGTGCCTCAGGATGGTATGTACTGTGAACTAATGTAAACTAATATTGAATCGAATACTTAGCTGATTTTTAATAGATTTTCAAGACATTGCTCATTCTCCTGGGTCTTCTTTTTCTGTAAAGAATGTTGTTAATTTAGATTCAGTTTTTTAATCAGGCAGGCAGCTGTGAGACTAAAATACCAAAACTTCTGAATTTTCCACATAAAAAAAAGAAAAAAAGTAGTTAAAGAATCAAGTTTCTCCTGTCCAGCAGTGGTACTGGTTTTCTTCAATATCTGAACATTTGATTCTGATTTGGATTTCTTTATTTTAATTATTTCTAAGACTGGATTAGTTGAGGATGCACTCTTGGAATGGTTTTGGTAATTTGATCAATTGCATGAAGGTTTACTACCTAACCCTAAGTTTGATGCATTTAATGGAGAGGTAAAAAAAAGAAGATTTTTCAGTGTCTGACCTGGCAATCATTGATCAGAGTTGATCAAGAAAAAATAGTTTGTTCTAGTAAAACTGTCTATGAGGATCATTTGACTGCAATTCCTCAACTTATGACATGAAATATGATGTTAAGAAAAGAAAACATCTGTAAAATGACTTAGCTTATAAAAGTTATTACATATTTTAAGTTACAAACCATCATATAAACATATTTTAATCTGTTTTCTTTTCAATCTACTGTCTTCGTATCAGGAAAAAAAAAATACATTTTGTTCATCTTTAAAGGAAAATGAACAGCTCTTAGTGGTGTGTATTGTCGTTTGAATATTTGGGATTATTTTTATCATGCTCCAGAGTCACATTTTTCCACAGGAGTCAAACAGAGAAGTCAGAGGAGTGGCCATCTGTGTAACAACAACCTCGCTCGAGATCTCCCCCCGCTAGCAGACGAGCACGAAGCGAGCGGACCTCTGATGAAGGCGAACGCGGCTTCCTCTGTGCTTTCTGTGTGATTGTGAAGGGTAGGTTTTCTTTCATCATGTTTCACTTCACGCGCTCAGACCTCCACTTTGCGTTGTGCTAATCCAGTTAGTCACTGAGCTGGAGAATCATCCAGTCCAGCAGACATGATAACCAGAAGGACAGGAGCTGCAGTGAGGACCCTGGTTGGGTTTTAAAAAAAAAATAAAAATAAAATAATAGTGCCGAGGCTACAGTAGCAAAACTTCTTCAACCTGCCAGAACTTCTTCAGACTGACTCTGAAGGAAAACTTCTTCTGACTCTGACTCTGGCGCTGGTCAATTATTAATATGTTTTTGAGTTGCATAAATATTTTACTCCACATGTTTTTATTTTTTACACCATAATCTGCCACAACCTATCTGTCCACTGGCTTCTGGGTCTTTGAATGTACAATTGGCTCCATCTATGATGTGTTTATATTTCCTATGCTGCTTGCAGATTCCCCTTTATGCCTCTACTTTTCTTTCTTTATACAGCAGGCTCTCTAATCTATTTGCTCATCCATTCAAATCAGTAAATATGTGCAGAACACTGAGAAAATCAAGGAAAACCCACTCTGAGAGAGTGAGAGGTGCAACAAAAAGTCTCTCATTACATTTGATAAAAAGAACGGAAAATAAAATAAAATAAAATACTTGCAAAGCAACATGGTTTTAGAATATAGAAAAGATTAGTGAGGCTGCAGCCTCTCTCTTTCTCTCTCTCTCCCTCTTAATCTGTCACCACATTCAGATTAGGATTACAAAAATGATTTACTTCCGAAAATGAATATGGAGGGACAGGCAGGGGCTTCAGCGTGTTCTACGTTTGGCGCGACGAATGTTTGCGGAGATGCTGAAACGTGATTTATCTGCTTTTGACATCTAATAAATTCTAATTCAACATATTTGTTGGAGTAAACATGGGAAGGCGAGTAAATCAAGAGGTATTCTGATGTCTGTCGTTACAGGTAGTATTTTGAACCAGCCACAGGATGTGCATTAACATGCAAGTCACAGTACAATAAAAACAAATAGCCATATTTTCATGCCGACATGCTTGTCTCTTAAACGTTTTTGCTCATTTTTAGCCAACTTTCAAAGTTTAAATACAGAAAATTCAACATGGAATCAGGGAAGATATTTCAGTCTTAAAGTACAGAGCATGAAAAAACCCCAACAAAGACAGAAAGGATAGAAAGAAAGAAGGATGGATGAAGGAGAGTAGAAGGATGACAGAAGAGTGAGTAAAGAATGAATGGATCCATCGATCACACTATTTTCTTTTAGAGTTAATTTCAAGCTGTTTAGAAATAGTTTGCATTATTTAAGCCCCTGCAAACTGAGGTCAGGCTGCTACGTTGTTTACACATCTCAGGTTGAGCCAGTTGGTTGCTCTCACACCGCCGTCCTCTGTGTGCTAAACAAATGTGCTGACTCGGCCCCCTGCCCCCTGATTGGAGCCCAAGCTGAATTTTAGCTCAGCGTTCGCGGAAGCTGCAGGAGGATCCTCATTAGGCGTCAAAAAACAGATTGCAGCTTGACATCCACGCATATGCTGCTAACTAACGAGGGCAGCCCACAGGAAAGGTGGTTGTTAATTACGTGTCTCCCACCAAAGGCCACTCTGTCTCTGCCCTGTGAGCGCTTAAGTGTCCCAACATAGCAAAGCAGATCTATCAGCGTCTGACAGGCTAGCCAGCGTGGAACATTTCTGCACCCGTGCAGGTTTGCGAAAATGAAAGGTGTTTTATTTTGAGGCTCACTGTCACAACGGAGCTGGAGGTTCCATCAGCTGAACTTTCCACTCGGCGTAGCGTACAGCGAGAACCTGGCTGGTCTCAGCTGGCAACAATTAATGAGCAGGAGAGCATGAGCAGGCAGAAGCCCCGCGACCTCAGGCTCTCTGAAATATCGTAATTAGAGCAGGAATGGGCTCGGCGGAGGCTCACGATCCGATGACGGGCCACAGGAATCAGACCCGAGCTTCGTATGTCAAGATGTGTTTACACCGATTCAATCATTAGACTTTAGAAACAAACTTTAATTCTTATTAAATAGTTTTACATGCAACAATTTAACTTTTTTTTTTCTGGTTTCTTTACTCTAATGACACCCAGTGGAAATCATTGAATCCAGAAGTGTGAATTTTAAATCAGTATAATTGTTACTCTTCTTTGAGAACAGAAGAAAGGTTTGAGAAAATGTATATCAGAAGACCAGACAGGTAGAATCTGTTTTTTTTTCTTTTTTGGATATTGTAGGAAAAAGAAGAAGTGTTGAAAGAATCCTGAAGGTGAGAAACATCAGAACTTCAGAGCTGCTGGATCCTTTCTGTATTAACACACAAGAACCCTTAAATGCTTCAGCTATCTTAACTTCTTTAAACTCGTCCCCAATGAAAATAAGGGTCACTCAGACGAATTAGTGTTTGTTGTCAGTCCTACATGTCCTCTTGAATCTGTAATAACATATAGTTCTTCATAATTCTTACTTTAGGGAGCTGAGAGCGATTGCATTCCACACGTTTTTTATTTGAACGAAGCAATTTTTTTTTACATGTTCAAAATAAAAATATTTCCTCTCATTTTAAAACAGAAAAGGACAACTTTATGTCCTACTTTGTGTAGGTCAGTCACATAAATTATTATTCCTACTTATTTGATCTTTTCAAACCTGCGCCTGCAGAAGCACGTAGATTAAAATTAAAAATTATACTTTTAACGGCTCCATATTAAGCTACAATCTAAAATGTGCCATATTTACCAGTAGCTTAGTTGTGCGTTTAATGCTGACGTTCGTGTTCAGAGCCTGATTTTACCGTTTAAATTTGCAATGATTTGATATCAGTGATAGGGCAGGAACACCCAGTGACCTCGGTCTTGTCTTTGTGCATCAAATTCACCAGTTCACAGTGTGTTCTGCATAATCCTCTCTTATGAGGATGACAGCGACTGAGTGAAAGCCGGTGATGGAGGGGGGCGGGGGGCGAAAATATTATATAATGGCACAAGTTCTGGTTAGCTTCTGTTTTCGTTCATGTTGAGAAATTGATCCCCTTTATTTTCTGATTTCAACACTTTGAGATTTTGCACCAAACACTTGATAAAGGAATGTGTTTTATTCGTGATCCTGAAAGTGGTCCCCCCCCCACCCTCTTCCTTTGTGAGCCGCTCACGTTCCCTGAAGTGAACAGATTGGGTCTCGGTGGGACTGTGTCACCCAGGGAGACACCCTCCTCCCCATCCTGTCACAGCACTTCCCCCCCCCCAGCCCCCCTCTCCACACACACACTCAAACACACCTCTAGTGTTTGAGTGTCCACACGTGTGACCTTCATACGCTTATCACTTTTAAGGCGCCTTGAATAAACTATCCATTGTTGCCGTGGTGCTGCGGTTAAAACACAACCAGAACGGTGCGCTGAACAATACGGCGGAGCTGGACCGACTTCATGCATGCATAACAACACTGCAGCCAGAAAAAAAAAAAAAGAAAAAAAAGAAGCATGCTGGGTGGATGCAGCTGACTCTCCAAACTGCTCATCTATGTTGCATGCATCATTTGCAAAAAAAAACCTTTTAACTGAAACACTTCCACACACATCATTACATGCCGGATTGACCCAGTTAACTATGCCAAAAATGATTAAGAGTGCAGTCACATGCACTACCTCCAAAAAAAAAAACAACTAAGAAAACCAATTGCTGATGTCCAAACAGAAGTAAATGAAATGAAATCATCTTGCCCTTGTCTGAATATTTCATCTCAACAACGAGCAATGAAAGGTAGTAACAGAAAAACGCACTGTGCTCCAAGTCAAGTGGATTAAATATGGATTACCTGTTATTTTCTGTATTGCCTGTTATGTAGTGAACCATAAGCTCTCAAGCATTCAGCTCCCATCTTTTTTATGTTTCATTAGGAGCTGTGTTTCATGATTCTGCATCATATTTTTAAGTAGTCTCCCTTGCACAAGGCGAGTGGATTATTTCTTCTTTTGAGAGTTCAGCTACTGCGGAAACAAGGAATGTGCTTGACCTTACGCGGCTGAAGTTTGTGCTTACCTAGTGCAGTTTAATATAGAAACAAGAGATGCATTCTGAGTGAAAAAACATTTAAATAATAGATGGACTTCTGGCTGCTTTCATCGAGGGGGGAATCACGGTTTTGTCTGTGCAGAGGAGAGACTGCAAACCCCAGGAACGTCGTGTGTTAGGACACGTTTTGCTGCGTCGTTTGCCCACAGATTCATAATTTTAAATGGAAACATTAAATCTGTTTCAAATCTTGTGCTGGTGTGACACTAAAAGTCACAAAAACGTTCACTACAACCAATCTGATACTGAGAAGGAGATATAAGAAGTTTTTTTTTTTTTTTAGATCAGGTGACCCTCAGTTGGTAGTTCGATAGTTCGATGGATGCGTGACGAGGAGGAGGAGGAAGAGACAGGAGGAAGTGACATAGAGCCAGGATGGAGCGAGTGGGAGGGGAGAGTTCAGGGATTTGCATGGCTCGACAGCTGGACTGAAAAAACAGGCTATTTCAGGACGGGATTTGTACGTTTGGTTGCTACCTCAAATCCTGAGAGAGCGGAAGCTTAAAGCGCTGGTTATTGCATGAGGCTCGTTCTATCAGTGTCTTTAATCTCTCCTTTTTCCTCCCAGAAATATCGTCTGCAAAGCAGTTTCAGAAGCAACTCTTGAGTTGACATGAAATGCCAAAACATAGCTGCACAACTTCACTGGCTTTCTGCAAATACAGATTCAGTTTTACAGTACATGCGTTCTGATTTTAATATCTAAAGTTAAACAATTTAAAACACATGAAGGTCTGTTTCTATATAAACTGAAGAGACACTTGAATACATCATTTAGAGGTGGAAAATACTCTTGTTGAGAGGCAGTTTACTTTTTCTTTCCTTGATTGCAACATTAACATTACTTTTTACATTAAAATGTCAAAAAAAGAGAGACTTGATGAAGACTGAAGACTTCATATTTTGTCCAGGCAAATGCCAACAACTATTTTATTATCTGCTCTTTTTTCCCCTAAGTTATGAATGAAATCTGAAATGCACATGAAAGTGATCTAGGCTCTTTGTATAAAGGAATGTACATTTACAGTGTACAGACATGGTAAAACAAAAAGTCTGAAACACCTTCAAATTTTAGGGTTTTGTATTTCAGACATTTTTTTTAAAAAAGTATTTTTATTTTTTAGCGTGTACTTCAGTTTTTTTTCTCTCTCTTTCTTGTTTTACAAACCTTCTTAACTGTGACGACAGATGATGTACAACGATTATCATTTGCATATGAAAACGTAAGAGAAGCATAAATAGACAGATATCAGGGAGGCCAATGTATCACGAACATATTATGTAACCAGACTTTCTTTTCAACTAAGGGCCACATCTCATTAGAAAAATGCATTTGGAGAAACATGGAAATGAAAACAATAAAAGAAGAAAAACGTCAATTTCCCATTCCCCCTCCAAAAAAAACAAAAAACAAAAAAAAAAAATATATATATATATATATATATATATATATATATATATATATATATATATATATATATATATATATAATTTAAAAACTTTCTAAACTGTAAAAAAATAAAATAAAATAAATAAAGCTGAAATGGTCAGAGTATGGCGCGTCCAAACAGAAACCCGCGTAAAAAGTCAGAACATCAGCCTGAAAATATCAATAACGTTTAGATTGCGTACCTGTGAATTTTCCCCAAGGTTTTCCCCGCCACCGCCTTGAACCTGTCCGGTCGGATCTCCATCCTTGCAGCTCCTTGACCCGGCCGGTGTGCTGATGTCCTGCGCGCCCTGCTGTCCCGCCTGAACGCGCGCTGCTCTCCTCTTTCGCACAGTCTATCACTCTCCCTCTCTCATCCCTCCCCAACCGAACCAGCACCGTTGACGGGCTGCGACAGGTGGGAGCCTTTAGATTTCTCTGCGCATTCGTGAAATCTGTCAGTGTGCTGGACTGGACCGTGCAGAGGCAAAGGATTTAAAATATTAATGTTCCAAACCTTCGTCATCGCTGCTCACAGAGGGCTGAGAGCTAAAAATAAAATAAAAAACGTAGATGTGTGTTTTTTAAAATTATTATTCCCCCTTTTCTTCATGCGCTCATAAAACTGAATAAGTTGCTTTTTTTGTAGTTTGGAATAATTTACACATACGGTGACTTAAGTCAAGCTAGTTGTTTCTATATAAAGTGCAGAATCTGTAGTTCTCAGAAACTAATGTTCAAGTAGTATTTACCAGTTTAAGCAAATTAAGTAGCGATTTAGATGTAATGGACTCACAAATGAACCTAAGACAAATATGACTTTTACAGGCGAACGTAATGTGACTTTCTCTACAGTTTTGAATATTCATCTGTACAATGTTTCAGTTTTTTATTTTTATTTTATTTATTTTTTTTTTTTACACGACTTGCTCTAACCCAGTGGTTTCCAAACATTTTCTGACCCCCACAATTCTATGGATTACCAATGGCTGTCTGGTTGACAGTCATTTGGTTGGTTTTTTTCGTCCAGACGGCTTCCCCCTCCCCCTCCCCCGCAATGGCACGGCGCACCCCTCCCCCACCCCATGGGCGCGCCCCACAGTTTGGGAACCTCTTAACCCACAGAAAAAACATATGGGACGAACTGAGCTGGAATCGATGCTCATTGGGCACATGAAACGTTTTTGAGACATTGACATTTTGTTGTTGTGGAATATCCACCACCAATGTTGGCTTTTGTTTCATTACACTGCTTGAGATGAGGAAATCAAATTTGCTTCTTCTAAAACGCA